AAAAAAAAAAAAAAAAAAAAAAACTTAGGATAGAAAAATATAAAGAGAAAATGGAATAAAAGTTTTGTACCCTAGTTTGTAAAAGTCTTGTTAGTTGTTAACCTTAATTTTATTTTACTAATAAACTAATTTTAGTATGGGAAGAAGTTTATTTCAAATTTTTTTAATTATTTCTTTAGAAAAGCTTATTCAAACATGTCTTTATAATATATGGAAACTTTTTTTCAGATCAAGTATGTAGGGGATGAGCAAGAAAAGATAAGCTTGCAGATGAAGGGGTTAAATTTGATGGACAAAACTTTATTTGTTCAAGGAGCTAGAATTTCTTTTAGTATATGGGATGTTGCAGGTGATTTTATTTGGTCTAACTTTCCCTTTCTGTACATGTCTATCTATTTTTTTATTTTTTATTTTTTATTTTTTGAGGGTGAATTATTCTGTGCTGGTGTATGTAGGTGACACAGGGTCTCTTCATCAGATACCAATGGCTTGTAAAGATGCAGTTGCAATTTTGATTATGTTTGATCTCACTAGTCGTAGTACATTAAATAGGTAGCTGTTAATTAGCTTCATGATCTGACTGTGTTCAGTTTCTGGGGAAACTTTGTGGTAACAAGTGCAAAGATATTTACATTTTTCTTTTACTTTGGGATGTTTTTGCAGTGTTGTTGGATGGTACAGGAAAGCAAGAAAGTGGAACCAGGTACCAAAGTTCAGTTTCACGTGGTGAATACTTTTGAAATTACTTGAATAAATTCATTGTGTGGTACAGATAATAAATACCTTCACTGATTAAAGTTATTTACGAATTCTTTTTACATGGAAAAGCTTTGAAATAATGCAAAAGGACAGGGCACATGCATTATTTTCATCAAGCTTTAATGACAATCATGATTTAGGACATATACGGGTGTCAAACTGTCAATTTCTCATTAACACCAAATAAAGAACGATATCTATTTATTGATAAAGATTGTGTAGTAATTGTTTCTTTTTCCATAATGGAAAAATCAATGTTTTTATAATATGCACTTAATAACATTAGTTTGTGTCATGCTGGGTTAGTACAAATATTCTAAAGTCTTAATCAAATTGGACATTATCTAATTTTGATTAATCATTAAATTGACGGTGGTTTTTGATTTAAAGATCCTTAGCATATTATTGACCTTTTCAAAATAATATATCATTTTATTTTATAAAACAAAAACCTTAGTTTTGCTTCTGATGTCCATGTTATGCACTTGCAGACTGCGATTCCCATTCTAATAGGAACCAAATTTGATGATTTTGTTAGACTTCCCCCGGATTTGCAATGGACAATTGTGACTCAGGTAAATAATTATTGCTTAATAGGAGATCTAGTGCATCCTTTTATTTTCTCTTGATCATTCATGCCAGTGACTGATTTGTTTGTTCTACACATTTTCTACCATAAATTGATCAATAACCCATTAACCCTTGATTGACGTGTGAAATTGAAGAATGGCTTCATTGACTTGGAGTCTTCTTTGGAATCTTGGCACTTGACATTTACCAAATTAGCTAGATTACTAGTGTTCAAACTTTCATTACTTTAAGGATAGCGATATTTGTAACAGTTGTTATTATAATATTGATTTTTAGATAAAAACAAAATGGTGTGTCTTACTTAAAATAAAGTGTTGCTTTCTATCTAAGGCATTGGCTTTGTTTGAAAATTTAACTTGGGAATGGTGCATACAGGCAAGGGCATATGCAAGGGCAATGAAAGCTACCCTCTTCTTCTCAAGTGCAACCCACAATATAAATGTAAACAAAATCTTCAAGTTTATCATGGCCAAGCTCTTTAACTTGCCATGGACAGTGGAAAGGAATCTGACACTAGGAGAGCCCATAATTGACTTCTGAAACTCTGAAATGTACTTTACATCTATTCATATGTAAATAGCAGGAAGAAAAAAAGAAAGAAAAAAAAAGATTTAGACATGGTTAGATAAACTTCTCAATAAGAAAAATAAAAATATTTTTTTATAAATTAAAATTAACTTATGTATCATCTAATTTATAAAAGATCTCTCTTATTAGTTTTTTTTAAAATCTTATTTATTACGAGTAACACATAAGTGGATTTTACTAATGATTCTTGTCTAACTTCTTATTATAGTAACTCACTTTCTATTTGGTGAGACTTGAAAATATTTTTTTCAATAACAAAGAATATTGTGTTATAAAATTTTCTTATGTATGATGCTTATTGCCACAAAGGCCTCAGTCTTATCCTTTAATGAAAGGAACAAAAGATGGGAAACAGATCATATTATGAACGGTTCTATTTTTGGACTCTCAAAGATTTAATTTTTTTTTTAATGTTAAGAAATTCAAATGCCATTGAATTGAAAGACACAAGACATCAGTGGTTGTTAATATAAGTGTTAATATAAATGATTTGACATTTGTGTTTTCTTTTTCAAAGTTGAGAATTCATCTCCAACTTGAGGACAAAGTCGTGATTGGATATACGACTTTAATCTCACAGGGATTAATTCAATGGAAAAGAGTTGCATCTTATCAAACCAAAAATAATTCAAAGACAAAGATTGATTTGTACGTGGTAGGAAAACATTTTAATTGTAAAACAATAACACTAATTTTTGTATAGGGAAAAGTTTTTCCCCAAACTAATTTGATTTTGCTATGATTTTCCATGATTTCATTAAATTTTTACGTACAATTAGGTGAATTATGGACTAAGGATGTTACAAGATTAGTATTGGCATAATAGGTACAATTCTAAATCGTATTAAAATTAAACAACTAAAGCAATGAGATTTTATTTCTTAAAATAATTGATAATGTATATGCATCTAAATATTAAAAATAACACGGGAAAGGTAAAATGCTTGTTGAACTATGTTCTAAGCATACTTTAATAGATTTTAGGCTTCCATCTTATATGGAGAATAATTCCAAATGTGTAAGTTTATATTGTCTTACTTGACCAACTGAAATGGATCATATTAGGGTGGAGAGAGAGACTCGTTGACAAAACAATAGCAAACACATAGGAAAGAAAAGAGAGAAACCTATTGTGCATTTTTGCATCCCCAAAAGGTAACATTTTTGCAACAAGAGATTTGGTAATCGTTGGATCGAGCTGAATTTTGGACAACAAATTTGTAAAATAAAATGTTATATGATTTTTAATTTTTTTTAAAAAGTTACAAATTTAACCCCTCATTTTAAATCACATTTAATCATGTAAATATAAATATTAAATATCCATAAAGATTCTATTCTTTTCTCTCTGAAACCATTAAGTGACCATTTCTAACAAGTATGACTCAAGATGTTTACCATATTGTATTCTAAACAAAGACCTAAAAGAGATAACTTTAAAATAACTTCCCATTTAGATCCACTCAATGAAATCTTTTAAATTTCTAAAATATTTTTTCTCTCCTCTAGTCTTTATACAACTTTCAACTTAAACACATGCATAACATGCATACACCATAACTTAATCTTTCAACTTATACAACATTCAACATCTCATCATTTAACTTTATAACATACGATAATTTAACATAAATCATCTTAACTCATCCATCTCATCATAATTCATCATCATATATCATCATCTTTCAACTAATATTGAACATTATAAAGAAACTTACATTAATAGATGAAGATCATATAAAATTGGCTAACTTAACCCACCTTAGGATTTATTGTAAGTAACTACAACTTGCTTAGCGAAAGGAACCCTTTTTTCCCTATCTCGTTAGGCAAGCTCTAGCTTGGTAAGCAAGCTAAACTCCTTGTGGGTTCTCTTGTTGAGGGATAGATGTGAGCAAGACCCTTTGGGGGTCTTCTTGTTGAGCGACTACAACTTGTTGAGTGACCTAAGCTCCTTGTTGGTCTTCTCATTAGGCGAGCTCCCAAACACTACAACCACAACAACTTAAGCTTGATGGGTAGCAAAGGTGTCGTTCAACAAGCCTTCATCCAATTCATCACAAACTCTCTTTTTCGCTGAGTGACTCATGTTGTCACTAAGAAAAAATAGGTTTTTGGGTTTTTGCCTTCATTTTTTAAGACTCGTTTGACAAGCATTCCTCCTCATCAAGCGAGAATGTGTTACACCTCATTGGTGCTCACATTCCCCCAACTCATGTAGCCTCCACAATACATATCTACTTCCTAAAATCCAAACAAATGAAATTAAACATCACTTGCAACTCAAATCCAACCTTAAAATCAACATACAACAACATTACAACAAGAATCTCCCACTTTTGTGATTTGGTTCTACAACCCCAAACCACCATCTTCACCCTTAACCTTGAACAACACCAAGTTTCATACAATTGTTTCCAATGGGCTAAACAACTCATGAATCAACCTAAACAACTTACGAAGAATCAATCTACAAGTTTTTCTTACCTCAATTACTTCCAAAAATGAAGGAATCAAGGAGGAAAAAGGATGAACTGCAAGACTCTTAAGAGTCAACTTCTCTTTAAGATTTCATACTTGCTCCTTAGACTTGAATTTCAACTTCTACTACCTCAACTAAGCCTTGGGAGAAGTTAAGAAAGCTCTTGGTGGAATTATAATGAAAATCAAACTTCTCTAACTTCAAAGTTTATCTCTCTAATTTATATATAAATTTATAAGGAAACATGTTTGTTCCCATCAAACACGACCACATATTGGATAAGTTAATCAAAAATGTCCCTTTTTACCTTTTTTTATTAAAATTTTAATTTATATATATATATATATTATAAATAGTGCAATTTAATATTACTACAAGTAATTTAAATATATATTAATGTATATCTCTAATTATTCTATACATGCATGGTTGGCATTCTCATAAACAATTTTGATTAAATGTTATTATTTATGTAAAATATATAATATAATATATTACAATTATAGTAAAATATAATTAAAAAGCTTTGTTGAATATGAATTAATAAAATAAACATTAAAATAGTTATCTATTAATAACATTAAAATAATATCATATTGAATATCTAAAATATCATAAATATCTTTAAAATAATAATAAAATATTGATTAATATTTATAAAAAAATTATATATATTATACTTTCAAACTAATGCAAAGTTAATAAAAATAACATTAATATTATTAGGTTTGATTAAAAAAAAGACGAGGAAGAAATAAAAGTGAAGCCCAGTGGGAAAAAAAAAATAATAAAAAGAAGCTGTGATGGAGAGAGACTTTTTTTTTTTTTTTTTTTTTTTTTTTTTTTTTTTTTAATTAACCTGTCCAATACACAATCGTGCTAAATGGAGACAATCACGTTTCTTTTTTCTTGCTTACCTCGTTTTTTTAAGCCTATTTTAGGTTTTCACAATTTTCCAACATGGCATTTTGTTTTGATTTTCATTTAATACGTGTAATTCAATAATTGGTTATGTCTAAATACGAGTTTTTAGGTGCAAGCCTATACATCAATATCTCTGGAAAAGTAATTAAACTTTGAATTATGCATTATTAAAAAAGAAGGGTTAGAGGCTTATCTATTTTCATACCAATACTATCACTGTAATGTAATATAATAGCCATAGAAGAAACTTCAAACAGAATATAATTCTTCAAATGAAGCTCACATATAAAAGTTTTATCAGAAAGAGTTACAAATAAGAAATGATTGATATTTTGCAACGTACTTACTTGGATGAGACCAATAATACTTTTGTTTATATTTTTAAAGATAAAATAAATAAAATGATTAAAGTTAAATATGTATGAATAATTTTAAGTAATTATTTAAAGAATATAAAATGTTTAAAAAATAATTTATAGAAAAATAAAAATAACAGAAAATATAAACTAAATAAAATAGTATGAGAAGGAAAGATAAAAATAATAAAGAGAATATTATCTCTTATACTCATTTTCCATGCGCAGTAAGTTGCAACTTGACTTGAGACCATAATGAATCCCACATCGGAAAGATTTGTCAGAGTAGCACAGAGAATGAGTTACAAATAAGAAATGATTGACACAAAGCAACATACTTACCTGGATGGGGTCAATGGATGATCACTAAGGTCCATGGCCTAGGGGAGTGACCTCCATTGCACTTAGGAGGGCTGCTTCTCTAAGGTCTGTCCAAGTGATAGAGTCTACATCATAATTTGTGGTAGTGGGGGCCTGCGTTCGCGCGGCCCCTTCCAGTTTAGTTTCAAGCCTTTTTTTAATGTTTAGTTTTTGTTTTCAGTTATTGTTATTTTAAAGTTCTTAATGATTCTTGTCTTGAACTTTTTAGTATTCATTAACCTGAAAAAGACAGCTTTGTAGAAACATAAGAATGTTTTTAGAATACCTCACTTCTTTAACTTTGATGTGACAAAAAATTTCTATAGATTGCTAGCTTTTTAATGTTTTGCTCATGTTTTAATTTTCATCTTCATGTTAGTTAGTCAAATTTACTAACTGTGTCTCTGCATATGATTCTTTACATGTTTTGAAGAACCAGTTAAATTCTGTCATCAAAAGATGGAAAAAGAGGTATGTATTAAAGGTTAAGTGTTTGGAAACAAATCGAAACAGTGAGGCAGGAAGGAAATGCATGTGAAAGGAGTGAATACTTAGATAAAAAATTAAACCTTGAAGACCAGGAGAAGGGAGGTTTGTAATATTAAGAAACTAGAAAATAAATAAAAAAATATTAAAGATATTTTTGGGAAAAAAGAGTATAATGAAGATGTATTATTAATATATAGAGATGTATATATCATCAACATTATTTAAACCCTACAAAGGGTTGAGTTTCTGGTTTTGCAGGACTGAAATCGAGACCAGGTGACCCAATAGGCTCCAACAATGATGATTTATGTTCTTCAATGACAGAATGTGTAAGAAGGCGTTATTCTTCCATGTAACATGTAACAGATCATTGAGACATGAGATTAGAAGTTACAAACCTATGAGGCCAAGTTTATAGTTAACTTCAATAAGGTTAATATGTTATCAATCATTAAACAATGTAGAAAATATTTGAAAAATATTGCTCTTGTTCTTTGATAGAAATGATCCTTCATATTCCAACATTAATTTAAAAAATATTCATAATTATTAATCATGCAGTAATTCAATAAAAATCTTGCCACAGCCTATCAGAGGAATAATAATGGAACAAAAGTCAAATCCTTTGTATTTTAGATGTAATTCCACTAATTATTTTCCCTTAGGGAGTAAGGCGCAACTTGAGACCAAATGAATCCCGCATTGAAAAAATTTGTCAGAATAGCATAGAGAATGAGTTACAAATAAGAAATGATCGATATCAAATAACATACTTACCTGGATGGGGTCAATGGGTGATCAATAAGGTCCATAACATAGGAGGGTGACATTCATTGCACTTAAGAGGGTTGCTTTCCTAAGGTCTACCCAAGTGGTAGAACCTACATCATAATTTGTGGTAGTGGGGCTTGCGTTCGCGCAGCCCCTTCTAGTTCAGTTTTAAATGTTTTAATTTTATCAATTTTGTAACAAGAAGAACTGACAGAAGGCAGGCATCCTAGAAAGATGGGCAGATAGATGTTTAATTTTGTTAGTAAATTGCTAACTGAACTCACTAATCTTGTCACTGCATATGGTTCTCTACATGTTCTGAAGAGAGTTAAAGAGTGATTTAACTCTCGTGTGTGGTAACATGTGAAATTAATGTAGCTTAGTTTGGTGGTGCTTTCTTTACTGCTTCTGCACAAATCTCAAGACAATTTTAAGAAATCTATTTAGTTCTCCGTCTTCTTATTTCCTCTTTGATGGGAGATGAATAAGAAGTTTGATTTTGGAAGCAATTGGCAAGTCTAATTGTCAGAAAATGTCTGTGGACTTCGAAATTAAATGACCCTAATATGCACGCTAACTCATGTGTGATAATTATTAATTACTAATTTGACAGAGAAACCAAGAAACCACAGATTCATGTAGTTGCTGCATAAGGAGAGGATGAGAGAGTTTGGCTGATGCAGAGGAATTTTAGATCATTTCTGAGGTCTTTAGACTAAATATATTATTCCTTTTATTTTTATATTTTCTTTATTTTTGAATGATATATATCTATCTTATATGCTTTGCTGCTTATCTTTAATAGATTTTAAGTAGCATTGTGATTACTTAGTAAACTAGCATTTAATACTAAACCAAGAATCATCTCCTACAACAATCAAGTACTTTAATGTTTTTTCACGGGTTAAGGTTGGAACAGCATTAGGAACGTTTTGTTGTACAGGTGTTAGATTGGAAGAACTACTAGGAATAGAGGAATCATCTATAGACGTAAAAGTTGTTGCAATTCACCTTGGTGGCCTTGTTAGTCATTCCTTAATAGTAGCCCATATTTGTTTTCTCCTCAGTAACTGCAGTCTTGCATATCTTTTTTATTGACAGTTTGAAGCATAATGTCTAAATCAGTTCCAGAAAAAAATTCAACAGAATTTATGTCATGACTTCTTGATTTTTCTTGTGACACGAATGTCAGTCACAGGAACAGTAGATGATTTATGTTCTATGATGGATTGTTAATGAAAGTGTTGTTCACCTAACAGATCATTGAGACATGCATCCAATGATGGTACAACATGAGATTGGACCGAATATTTTAGCTAGCTAGTTCATAATAAATGTCTCATTTTGTAGTTTCATGAACTGGAATTTGTCTCTTCACATAACAGGTCAAAATTATCATGGTCTTTGTCAAGGGAAGAGTGCTGCATCAACATGACCCCACAAATATTTTCCTTTTGCATATATCTGGAACTGGAATGTTCAAACTGAATGGTTTTTGCTATTAAGACGAACTAATATGATATCATATTTTTCTGCAGACATGCATCAAGGGAATCAAACCAAAAGTTGTGTGTTTGCCTCTTAAATAATTCTCATATAAGTACAAAATATTTTCAAACGAATCGCATATAATTTGTTATGATTTTCTGTCCACTAGCTAAACTTCCATATTTACATTTATTCCACATATTATCCTAGTGAAGAGAATAATAATTACAGATAAATGTATATATAATTTGCTTTTGCCATCAATTTCGTTGACACTGTCCATAGCCAGACCTGGGAATGCATATTGTCATTGCAACAAAAGTAATTGGTTCCTCCAATTACATTCCACACAGAATGTTTTTTTGTTATATTTCACAGGTAATGATTAAATTTCGTTCTCTTAATGATTACAGTTTTTGGCTACTATTGTTTGCAAAATAGAGCAGGTTTAACTTTAAGCCTCATTTTGAAGAAAATATTTTTATGCTGTTATTCCAAGCTTGATGTTTAACTCTTAGAAGTATATTTATTTATCAATACTACATTGTTTTTCTCAAGATTCTGCCTAGTGAGATCAATACAGTCAACGGTATTATGCTCTATCTAATATCAAAAGGTGTCAACATATTTGTTACATTAATCATAGCAAATATTATTATTCACTAGTCCTATACAACAAAGTCATTCATCAGTTCGCTTAGTTCAGATATTAACAAGAAATTGTAACTAAATAATTTAGAATCATGCAATTTTGAGATCATTTGCATAATTGACATCAGTCTTCAAAGCTCTCTGTTTAAATGAATCCCTCAACAAAAGCATTAAAGTGAAGTATATGAGTTTGAGAAACAGAGCTTTATTCTAAGAATATATTTAATATAGTGAAAAAAAAGATACTTCATGCCTCCATTAAAAAATAAAAATAGCAAATCTTTCATAATAGTTTGTGCAATTATTAAATATTGTGTTGTTATTGAAGATAAAATAAGAAAAAAGAGAAAAAAGGATCCTAAATAGATATAAAAGTATAAATATTATTATCAATTTGGGTTAGTGCGAGTGACGAGAGATTTATGTCGCTTAATCAAAGGGTCAGAATCCTAACTCTTCAAATGCAAAATACTCAAGTTGGGAAAAGATATTCACCTATTTAGTGTCTATCAAACCTTCATATTTTTTTGTTTCACTTTTAATCGTACAATTTTGCTCCTAAATAAGATATTTTTTAAAATTACTCATTCTATAATAAAGAATAAAAAATAAAAAAATCACTCATTCACTAATCTATATGGCTACTATTTTCAAATCTTAATTTTGTTTGCGATCTATTTTAATACTTAGAAATGATAAATATAAAGAGATCTTCTTTCTTTCTCTACAAGTATATATAAGAAAACTATTCGAACTTAGTAAAACTAAATAAAATAACAAAAATCACTCAATGTTCTGCACTTCTGCTGTGTCACTCTGTTTTTTATTAATAAATTAATCATATTATAATATATTAATAGCAGTAGTCATGGATAACTTGAAAATTAATATTAAGAAGATTGCAAACTATGAGGCCAAATTCACCTGCTAAATCCAAAAGATTGAAAAGGTAAAGTATCAATCTCAGTGGAAATGGCAAAATTGCAGTCAACATTGTTCACATTTGAACATGGAATGTAGCAACTAAAAAATCACCTGTCATTTGGTACCATGGGGTAATACATCTATTTTATACTTAATAATACAATCATTATATCAACTCACTCGATAAATAATGCGTGCAGAAAGTAAATATTTTTCTTTCTGTTGCATTTTCTACCGTATTAAGCCAATGTTGATATGTATGTACTGATCTTGTCCCTGAAAAATATTCAGTCAAAGCTATTACTTTTTACAACCAAATGGCAATGCCTTGTATTAAGTTTACCTCATTATCTGAGGCTGCTTCACACTCAAGATCCTGGAAGGTGACGCTGAAGATGCTACTTTATGTCACTGCATAAATCCCACATCGAGAAGTGAGTTGATGTAACAAGGAGGATGGACTATAAAAGTGAAATATATGACTCATTATAACATACTTACCTGGATGGGGTCAATGGGTGATCAAGAAGGCCCATGGCCTAGGGGAGTGACCTCCATTGCACTTAGGAGGGGTGCTTCTCTAAGGTCTGCCCAAGTGGCAGAGCCTACATCATAATTTGTGGCAGTGGGGGCCTGCGTTCGCGCGGCCCCTCCCAGTTCAGTTTTAAGCTTTTTATGGTTTTTTATTTCGCTGGGTGTTGTTGTGTTAAAGTTTCTATATATTCTAATGAAAACAGGTAGATAGTTGGTTATACAATAACAATTGTTTCTCATATTGTATTATGTATATACAAATTCTCAGTTATTAGAAATACAACAATGTTTCTCTTACTAAGTTTTCATATTTATGCTGTTAGTCAATAGCTAATGCATCTTAGTAACCTTGCCCTTGTTTTGCATAATCTTAACATAATTGATTATGTGAGTGTTTGAGTATTTCAGTCTCCAATAGGTGTGGAATGTTTTTCTCCCTTGCCTTTGTGTTGCATAGTTAAATCTTGTTTTTGAGAAATCTCATTTCTGAAACATGATTATAAATTTCTATGGGATTGTTAGCCTTTAATTATAATCTGAAACATGAAATATGACCATAAATTTTGTTCGTGTTTTAATTTTGTTACCTTATTGTGGTAATAAGTGAAATTGTTGTTTTTTTTCCCCTTTTATTACTAGTTAATTTTCTAGTCATTTAATGAGTCAAAATAGTTCTGCAATCTGGAGTTATGATAACAGGAATGTGAAGGCAACTTTCAATTTATTGTAAGTGATGCTTTAAGATGTGTTTGAATTGGCATTTAAATCGTGTAAACATCCGTTCAACTCAAAGCAACAACTTTGTTACTTCTCGATTCTTGCATCGAAAAGTGAAAAACTATGGTTACATTTACAAAAACACATACCCAAACACACTGTTACTCACTGTTTTTGTGAAGTCTCGTCTTCTTGATGTTAGTAGCCAAACATAAGATTTTATGTTCCAAAATTATTGTTTTAGAACAATTTTTTATGTTAAGACTTTTACTTTTTCAAAGCATACTTTTTTATGCTCTAAGATTTTCACTATTGAAGACAACGGATTAAGTTCATTCTACCAAAAGTTATTTTAGATCATTTGAGGTCTTTAATTTTTGTATCTTCTTTAATTTTGAATTGTATGAATTACACAGCTCATAGTACTATTTGGGTATCCTTTTAGATGACTTTAATTACTGCATATCTTACATAGATTTTAAGTAAGATGGTGGTTACCTAGTAAACTAGTATTAAATGCAGTCATACAGACATGGTTAGCATCGTGGTTCTGAACCAGATGAGGAACTGTTTAATTTGTATCATCAAAAATAAAAAAAGATACAGAAACATGTGTCAAGAATTTTAGTTGTCAAAGCAAGAATCATCTCCTAAAACAAAAGTTGTTAGCATTGTTAAAATCTGCATAGGTTTCTGTAATATTTTATTTCTGTTATTTTATTTAGTATTTAATTTGTCTCTTTTTGCTCTTATGAGTATATTTCATTATGTCCAAAAATTTCTGCATAAGATTTTGTCTCCCATATGGTATAGTTTTATGGGATATAACACTAACACACTGGATTAGGCTGAATATATACATATATTACACAAACTTTTGCTGGTCATCATATATAAATTCAACTGTTATTGTGGTAGCTGTTTTAGCAAAGTAATGAAACAGTAGCTTTATTGTCATGTGTAGAAATAGGCACTAGAGCAGGCTTGAATTAAATTTTACTTTTGGACTCGTTTAACCGTGGAAAATAATGTAGAAGAATTTGTCAAATTTATACCAGAAATAAGGTTAATAGATTATCATCAATAAAGAAAATGTTTGGAAAATGTTGTTCTTATTCTCACTAAAACAAAGTTTATTATTAATGACAATAAATTAATTGTTTCTATTTTATTATCTAATAAAAATATTAATGATTAATATATAATAGTTATTAAAAATATATTTATATTACATTAAAATTTATTCTTAGCAACAATTGAAAAAATTTAAGTCTCACATCGTCTAGAGATAAAATAATTAAAAATTATATAAGTGAATGATAATTTTCATCTTATAAGTTAGTTTTGTAGGGTTGAATTAAACTCGTAATTCACTATTTTAAATTAGTATCAGATTATCTACCATTACCAAACGCGTGCTAAATTTGAGGGTGTATTGGAAAAAAAATCTAAGTCACACATCAACTATTAATAAGACAATTAAAAAATATATAAGTAGAGAATAACTTTTATTTTACAAGTCCTACATCTCTTAGAAGATAAGACAATTAAAAAGTATATAAGCTAGAAATTATTTTTTTAAAGAAAAACTTGAGTCCCACATCGAAAATTAAAGAATATATATGAGATCAATCCTTATCTAGCAAAAAAATATTAAATATAAAAAAATACCACAAAAATTTATACATTTTACTCGACTATTATAAGGGTATATATTTTACCGATACTGCATATAATGGTTAATGTAAAAATATTAATAAAAAACGCCACAAAACTTTTAAATATAAAAAAAATATTACAAAAATTTATACATTTTACTCAACTATTATAAAGTATGTAAAAATATTAATAAAAGATGCCACACAAATTTTTAATATAAAAAAAATGTTACAAAAATTTATACATTTTACTCAACTATTATAAAGTATATGTTTTACTGACACGGTATATAATGGTTAATGTAAAAATATTAATAAAATATTTTACATTCATTTTAATTATTATTAAAAATAATATTAAATACATTTTATTGTAGTGGATGATCTTTCATATTCCAACATCAATACCATAGACTGCCAAAGGAAAAATAATGGGACAAAAGTCAAGTCCTTTGTATTTTTGATGTAATTCTACTAATTGCTTTTTATTTGGGCAGTCCAAGCTCAAGGTGAGACCACTTTATCACTGGACTTTAATCTGAAGAATCCCGCATCGAAAAGATTTGTTAGAATAGCAAAAAGAATGAGTTACAAAAAAAAAAAAAAAATGATTGACACCTAATAACATGCTTACTTGGATGGGATCATAACATCCTTACCTAGATGAAATCAATGAATGATCAGTAAGGTCCATGATTTAGGACAATGACTTCTGGTTTAGGACAATAACTTCCATTGTACTTGGGAATGGTGTTATATTAAGGTTTATCTAAGTGGTGAGAACTACATCATAATTTGTGATAACTAAGGTCTATCTACGTGGTGAAACCAACATCATATGGATTTTAGTTTTAAAATTTATAATTAGAAATATAATTTAACTTTCAGTTTATTTATTTATTTTTATAACTTTCTTTTTTGTTGGTCAGCATTTTATGTATGATATTTATGTGAATTTTTTTTATATGAATTGACCTTTTTGTGTTTTGTTCTAAATTTAGTATTGTTATCTCCTACATTTATGGTAATTTTGATGTTGAAACAGTGTGTTATGTATGCATATTATTATTGATTTTATAAACTTATCCAAACAACAGTGTGTTATGTATGCATATTATTATTGATTTTATAGACTTATCCAAACAACTTATGGTTTAAAACAATTATTTTTGTCTATATTTCCCAGTTCCTTAAAACGTGTCCAATCAAATATTGGATTAGGTAAAGTTCTCCATATGTTCTAACATTTTTATATAAGGTGGTTTATAATCGTTCATCAAACAATGAAAGTGAATATTAAGTTGGTGGGTTACTGAGTTTTCAGAAAATATTTGAAAATTGTTCTTATTTTCTGTGAAGATGAATCCTTCAGATTCCAACACTAACAAGGGATAATGGGACACTGATTTTTGGAAGCAAAATCCTCCTTGTTTATATTTGCAGATTGTTTTTCTGTCAGACAAAGCATGCAACTTTGAATTGAGACCAGTTGATTAAGCCTTCAAGCAGAAAGAACTTTGTTTAAATGAATGTGCGAGAAAAAGTTAGGTAGAGTTGTGTATAGAAATAAGACTAACAACAAAAGTGAAGTGAACGACATTAAGCATTATATTTACTTGAAGTGTTGATGACTTCTGTTTAACTATTGATTACTTTTAATTTTCGCTCAAAGCCGCATATAATGTCATGGTTATATAAATACTTTGAAATAATACTTAGTTACAACATCTAACTAAAATACATAGCAAAAATACCTTTGAAAACTTAAAACAGCTTGCTATAGTACAGTACCAGCTTAAATAAGGCCTATGTGGACAATGAAGAACCAACACCTTCAGGTAAAACCCTTGATCAGGTCACATACAAACTGTTAGCTGTTAAAAATGAAAACACATAAATAGAAAGAGAGGAGAACAAATGGAGCAAGATAGCCTGTGTTGTGGGGATGCAAAAGTGCAGTCACGTTTTTTGCATATAACATGTTACAATGACTTGGAAATTTGAAAGGTTACAAAGAAAAAATGCACACATAGTTGACTTAGTATCCAAATTAATCCTCGAAAAAGGTTTTGGTCATGATATCTGTAATGGCATAAAACTTCACCTTTATGTGTTTGATTATTTTATGTTGGATAGGTTTTTTTTTTTTTTTTTTTGCAATAAAAATAACATACTTAGTATCCACTCAAATGATATTAGGTTCATCTTGAATCTGTCCCAAAAATAGCTTGATTTGCAGGAGCTCCAGCTAAAATATATTTAGTTTCAACTCAGGATTGGGCCAGAACATCTTGGTTCTTTGAATTCCAAGAAAAAAGCATTGTCAAATGAGAACATGTATCTAAAGGTGCTCTTAGAATCATCTATACTTCTTGCTCCATCACTTTGCATATCCTGAACCTCTCCACTTTCATATTTTAAGAAATACAAATCATAATCAACTGTAACTCTTATATTCTTCAAAACTCAAAATTCTTTTTGATGCACAAAAGTGAACTTAACTAAGAGAATGAATATTTTGAAAGCAAACTTGCAACAAACATTATGTTTGGTCTTGTTGCTGAAATATACAAGGTACTTCTAATTATACTCTTATAAATAGAAACATCTACTTTATTATCACCATCATTCTTTAATAATTTTTCGTTCATAACCAATAGTGTAGCATTAGACTTACATTTTTTCATGTGAAACTTCTTTAATATTTTCAAAGCATATTTTCTTTATGATATGAATATTCCATCATCTTGTTGAGAAATCTCCATTCCAAGAGAGTAATTCATTTTAGCCATGTTAGTTATTTCAAATTTTTTCTCCATGTCCATCTTAAATTGGTTTGAGGAATTTGAGTCATTTTCTATAACCAATAAATCATCAACATACAAAGACATGAGTTGCACTTTATTATTTAACTTCTTCACATATATGTAAGGTGACTTCATTTTCACTTCGTTTAAATCCTTTTTGTAGAAGATATAGCCATTAATTCTATTATGCCATGCCCTTGGTGCTTATTTTAAGTCAGAGAGTTTTATGAAGCTTGTACACTTTATATATGTGAACAAATTATCGTAACTTCATAAGGGACTTTATATTTTAAAATTGATAAGCAATAACTATTTTATATTTTGGTATCCTATACATATATTTGTTATATAAATATCCAAGTATTGTTTGCATGAGAATTTTAAGTTAGATGACCTTTATAATTTTTTTTTGCGTAGAGTTTGTGTTATTATGCTAAGTTTAGTAAAATTGGAGGGTCGTTCCAAGTATTTTTGGATGCCATTGTTACTTGTTATTGCAAGAAAGCTACCACTTCAATATCTATTTGGCTTAGTAGAAGCTATTGGTACTAAATGTCAAAATATGTAGAAGAAAAATTGATGCATATTCATTGAAATCTTACGGCTACATATGTAGTATGTGTTTGAATTATAGTTAGAAAGTTAAGTTGAATTGAACTTAACTTTTCAAATCAACTTTCAAATAAAATCAACTCATCATTTTTAACTTTTGTTTCAATTGAGATTTGCTTGTATTTTCACAGAAAGAGAAATTTTTTTACCAAACATATAAGCACTGCATTCGAGGCCAATTAACTGAGATTACAAGTTTCAAATATGTATCCAAACATAACCATAACGGTTCAAAGTAACAATTGTTGCTTAAATCAAGAAGATAAAACAACTAACATACCGGATAACTTGAAAAAGATTCCTAAAAATGTGGCCTAATGCAACAAATCTCAAATAAATAGGACTTGCTCAAAACAGAAAAAATACTAAATAAAATTTAACATTGTATTTACGATATAAATATATAAAAAATAAAAAGACATTGGAGTCATGGGACAAAGTAGTGTAAATTTGGCTACTTTAATGAGCATTTGGCTACTTACAACATGTTTGATAAAGTAGTGTAAATTTGACTATTTTAATAATCATTTGGCTACTTACAACATGCTTGATTTTACATTTAGTTTCTAAACAGGCTTTCATGCGTTCCAATATTCTAAATTACAAAACAACTATACTAATGAATTGGAAAAAATTCAACATTTTTGCGAAACACACACTTGATTAACTGATTCAAATAGTAGGTTTGAATTTTTGCACTTCTCAAAAATTTGTCATTTTGTATTTAGCTTCACCTTAGGGTGCAGGGATTCTTTAAGTCAAATTTACAGCATATACACAGACATATGACAGTTAGACTTTTTTTCTGACCAAACAATGCAAATTTGTCACAGACCTATTCTGTACCTTGCAATGAAATGTGAGAACACTTTTTCTGTGCCTTCCAAAATAATATTAACAAAATCTTGCCGAATTCTATTAGCCTTAACTATTTGAAAGTAATTTTTGTGAAATAAAATATTAAAATGGCATTAAAAAAATAAAGATATGGAGACAGTAGGCATAATTTTGGGGACTTCAAATATAAAACTAATGCCATTAAAATTAAAATCAAATATGTGAAGTATCTTTCACGAATGAAAATTTTGTTACATACATAACGTTTAGAAAAATTTATGACAATGCATGAAAATATGTGCCACCCATGACGTAGATTGCTCCTGCACGTGGATGCATCACTTTTTGAATTTTAAAAAATATGAACGTTGCGAGGAGGTTATTTAAACACAGCAATGTCATTTTGTTTGCACATTGAATGTTTCAGTTCGATCGTATTGAGTGTCGATTTTTGTAGCAACAACTTGTGGTTGTGTTGTGCCACTGGAATTTGAGTTGATTGTTCGAGGAAGAGGTAAGTTGGTATAATATTTGTGTCACTGTATTTTATTTTATTGTTTTTGCTGTAACTTAAAGTAATTTTAAGTTTAGTTATATAGTTTCTATATTTTTTATGATATAACTATTTGTATAGTGTAAGTATTTGTTCATTTTGTTTTTAGTCTTCTTCGTTTCCTTAATATATGTGTAGATTATGTTTATGTATAGTTTTATTTTTTTTTAGTTCTATTTAGTTCCGTTATTATATATACTTGCACAATATAATATTTTTAGTTAAGTTTCTTTAATTTATTTTATATATGTATGCCTCATTTATTTACTTTTTTAATTTTATTTACTTTCATTCATTTAGTTTAGTACATATGTATAATTTAACTTTTTTCTTCTTCTATGTTTCGGCCTTTTATAACATTAGGAAATTTAGTTTATTTTAAGTTAGTAACTTTAGACCTATTAAGCAAAAAAAAGAAGAAGATGAATATTTAGTGATATAGGTGTATTGAAAATATATATTATGTATAAAATAATCTGTTATATTAATAGTTTAATTGAACAATGTGAATAGATATTTGCAAAACTAATTTTATTATGTTCGTTTACCATGAGATTGTTTTTATTACGTATATTTAGTTTTAGGTAAGTTAGTAATTTTTTTTGTATCATATTTAGTTATATATTTTTTCATTAGTTTTTTTTATATTATTTTTATTACAAGTTCTTATGATATACTTAAATATGTTTTTGTTCTCTTAAATTTAAAGTAAATTTATATTTGATCTTTCAAATTCAAAGTTATTTATTTTAGTTTTTTAAATCACCAATAATATATTTAAAAATGACAAATATAAAGTCTTATATGAATTTAATGTGATACTTTTTTTAACAAGAAAACTAATAAACAAATTTTATGCGACAATATTTGACAGATTCATTAACAAATTTTGAGTATGAAGATTAAAATAAAATTTTAAAAAATTTCAGCGACTAAAAAGATTAATTTTAAATTTAAGAAACTAAAAATATATTTAAAATTTTTGCAAAACTAATTAATCTTATTATGTT